GCTGGGTAGTGGATTTAACCTTGTCGAGTACCTCTGCGGACCTGTCAGGAAACCACGTAATTTCGTTTTTTGGATATAGTTTCGGTCCCAGCTTTTCAACAAAACGAGTTTTCCGGTTAATTCACGTAAAACTGAAAGTATATTCAGTTAGGATTGGTTGAGATGCCAGACGTCCAAGCACATAACTTCTCAGACTTTTCTACAAGGCCCAAAGAGCGTACAAACATCCGTGACGTTGTGTATTGTATTGCTTTTCGCTGCTGTATTGATAACCTGGTTGAATGGAGTAATACCTGGAAGTTGGCCTTCAACGTAGATAACTGCTCGATATGCATGGCATCAAACGCGCACCTATTATCCACGACTACATCACGGGAGTAAAATCTCTGACCAGAGTGGACAATCAGCGTGACCTAGCAGTTCTCATAACTTGAGAGTACTCGTACCTGAGTGGATAGAGCGCCCGCCTGGTGTTCGGGGAGTCATGGGTTCGATTCCTGTCGGGGACTCAGATTTTTTCTTTGTCCCACGTTCGTGTCATGTTGATCAGTTCACTTTTCACAACTTTTTTCTTTGTTTTATCTTTATATACTTTGCGTGCTGTACTGTGGAACACTGCATCCAGGCACTATACTGATGATTTTAAGCAATTCTATGCCAAAGTTAAAAAAAGACGTTTCTATTAAACGATTACACTTTCATGCGACCTCGATTCATACGCAAGCAAGAACGTGACGGATTTTAAGTTTTATTTATGTGAATGAATACGTATAAGATTATCATTATCACTATACATATTTCTGTTATTCCTGACTTTTAGCTAACTACACGATCCCACAAGCAAATCTGTTTCTTTAAACCAAATCGTGTTTAAATAAAGGATTAACTGCCTACACATCGGAGAGACTGAAAGGCGGCTAAGGGAACATTTCAGGGAGCACTTCTGCAGTATTCGAAACCAATCCCGTAGGTTTCCCGTAGCTGAACATTTCAACTCCGGCTTCCACTCTCTGGATGACGTCATGGTTTGTGGCTTAAAACAATGCACTGGCGGACCTCGTATCTTAAAGGACATCAACTTTTGTGTTTCAAGTAAGTAGAAAGTGGGAGTTTCGGGTCGCACCGGTGCCGGAAAGTCATTTCTAGTATCAGCTTTGTTCCGAATGCCAGAGCCCTTAGGCAATGTAAATTGAAGATTACATTCTGATGGCAATATTTTGTTTAATGTAGTGGAACCTTGGGTCATAAAACTGTGGTTTTATTAAATGCTCTTGGTGAAAGGTTCGTACAGTAGGAAATTGCAAATACGCATTTTCTTTTTTCCACTAAAAGTAAGGAAATAATTGCAAATTACTATGTGAAGGAAACTTGGTTAGAATTCTACAAGAAAAATTTCATTACAAACACCAGATTTCTATAAGGTGATCATTGATGTGGCCCACCACAATATCAACTGCAACCTCATTTCATAGAAATCTCGAGCTCACAATCTATTTGTTAATTAGTACCATTAAGAAGAGGTCGAGAAAGCACGTTATAAGATAAGATAACACTTAAATAAAGGTGAACATTCCATTTACCTAACAGTGATTTTGTTTTCTGGGTATCTAAGGAGGGGAAGGAGCGGTGGCCTCATTGGGAGCGAGGTCAATTAGTTGAGTTCGTATCTTCCCGTGAGGAGTGAAATGATGTGAAGTTTATATGAAATAATTCATATATGAACTG